CGGACTGCGCGACTTCGAGGTCTGCGAGGTCGGCGCGGTCACGGCGCGGGGTCCACCGTGCTCTCGGGCGACGCGCGGGCCGTGGCGAAAGTCGTCGTCGCGCTCCGCGAGTCCGGGACCAAGGCGCGGCCGCGGCGCGTGCGGGGCACGTCCCACGCGGACCACAGCCGGCGGCTGCGGCCCATCGCCGACCAGCTGGCCGCGGACGTGGCGGCGATCCTGACGGACGCGCGGCCGAACGGGGCGACGCTCGTCGTGTCCACGGTGACGGGCGCGCCCGCGGACGTCGCGGCGCTGCGGTCCGGCGCCCACTGGGCCGCCCACATGACCCAGCGCGTCGAGTACGTGAAAACGGCGCGCTTCCTCGCGGAGCATCGCGGCGTCGCGACGTTCGTCGAGATCGGCGACGGCATGCTCGGCCGCGTGACGCTGCCGACGGTCGAGCCCCTGGTCCCCGGCGGCCGCGCGACGTGGCTCGCGTCCCTCGCGCCGGCGAAGGAGGCCAACGGCGACGGCGACGCCGACGTCCGCGCCTTCGACGCGGCGATCGTCGCGCTCGCGGCCGCGGCGCCGCCGCCGTCCGCGGCCGCGGACGAGGCCAAGGAGCCCGCGACGCCGCAGTGCCTCCGCTTCGACTCCAAGGCCGTGCTCCAGTCCGCGGAGAGCGTCCGCGAGGACCCGCGGAGTCCCTTCGCGTTCCCCTGGGCCACGCCCAAGGGGAGGAAGGTCGCGTCCATCGCGACGAGCCCAGTGCCGACCTGTGTGGAAATCAAATCTTCAACCCGACTTCAATGTGCGCTTAATCGAACGGTTTGGACCAGACTCTTTCGCTGTGCTTCGAGAACTCGACGAGATCGATCGATCCGTCCAAAAATCAGCCGATTCGACTTCGAATTGGCCGAGATAGAGAGTTCTGAAGTTTGGTGGGGGGCCCCCAAACCAGTGGTTGACTTCCACACAGGTGCCGACGCCCGGCAAGTCGCTGGCCGCGGCGCTCGACGAGGCCGCCGACGACGGCGACGACTCCATGGCCTTCTTCAAGAAGAGGACGGACCGGGCGGCGCCCGCGGACGCGCCCGGCGGCCCGCACTCGCGGCACATCACGAACTGGTGCTACGCGACGGGCACGCTCGCGGTGCTCGTGGCGCACTTCGGCTTCGGCGAGACGGAGGCGCACCCGGACGGCGCCATGTGGGTCTTTCGGAGCCTGTTCAGCGCGGGCTTCGCGATGCGCATGTTCTGGCTCTTCGCCGGTTTAGGAGACCTGCGGAACCGGCGCGCGGGCAGGACCGCGCAGGCGCTCGGCGACCGCCTCGGGCCCCTCGCGCGCCTCTACTTTGCCATGGTCGTGCTCGACGCGCTGAAGAAGATGGTCTGGGGCAGCTTCGAGGTCGTGGGGATCTGCCTCGGGGGCTGCGGGTTGAAGGGGTCGATGAACTTCGTGAACCTCACGCGGACCAAGTGGTTCATCATCAGCCTCGCCTGGTGCCGCCTCGTCGGTTTTTTTGCCGAGCGGAAGCTGGCGCCGCGGGCCGCGGAGCGCTGGCTGCCCCTCGCGGTCGCGGCGCTCCACGTGTTCTTGCGCTTCGTCGACGTCTACGAGAACGGCGACGCGTACTACTCGACGAAGGTCGGCCAGCTCAAGCCGCTCAACTACTTCGTCAAGTCGGCCTATTATTACGTGGTGTGGCCCTTGCTCATGCCGATGAACCTCGGCACGCTCAGGTGCTCCGCGCGGAGCGAGAAGCGCGAGGACGTCCTCCTCGCGCGGCCGCCGTGCGTGCCCGCGCGGCGCCACCGCGTCCAGCCCGCCGGGGCGGCGGACCCGCCGCCGGCGGACGTTATAGCCGTCGGCGCCGCGACGGCCGCGCGCTGGTCCGCCGGCGTGCTCCTCGCGAACGTCGTTGTGGTCACGTGCGTCGCGCGCACCGCGCAGCGCCCGAAGACGCTCGACGGGCCCCGGCGGACGCTGGACACGGGTGTGCTGCCGACGCTCTTCCAGCTCGCGAGCTGCTCCCTGAACAGCGGCTGCCTCGTCGCCTTCCCGCTCGCGCGCGCGACGCGGCGCCTCGGCGGCCTCGGCGGCGTCGCGCGCGTCGCGTACCTGCTCTTCGACGAAACCGTCGCGGCGGCGATTTTAGGCTCCTACGTCTACTGGTGCCCGGCGACGCCGACCTTCTTCAGCGAACTCGGCGCCAAGGCCCTCTTCGGCTACATGTGGCACCCGTTCTTCGTGCCGCCGGCGACGGCCATGGTCGCGGGGCTCACGCGGACCTTCGCGAAGACGGACCAGATCCTGTGGCTGCCGCTCATCCTGATCGCCCACGTCTTCCTCCACCGCGTCCCGCTCACGCCCGCCGCCCTGAGGGCCGAGCTCAGGGACCGGCACTTCGCCTCGGTCCTCTGCCACCCGCAGATCGCCATCCTCGGGCTCTTGTTCGCCACGCTCGCCATCCGGATCCACCAGGCCGCGACCGTCTAAAAAATTCGCTCTTTAATTTGCTAACTTTATCTCGGATTCTAGAGCAGCGCGACGGCGCCCGCGCCGCCGGCGGGCCGCGGCGGCGACGTTGGATTGGCCTCTCTAAGGGGATCTAGAGCAGCGCGATGGCGCCCGCGGCGACGATGATGCAGCCGACGACGAGGCCCGCGCGGATGGCCGCGCGGCGGTGCGCCGCGAGCTCGCTCTCGAAGGAGGCCTTGGGCCAGAAGCGCAGGCCGACGGCCGCGTAGGCGCGCTCGACGCGGATCGCCCCGGCGAGGTCCGTCTTCGCGAGATCTTTCAGCGCGAGGTCCGCGGCCCGCCGCGCGTCGGCGACCGTCGCCGCGGTCCGCCGCGACGGCCGCTCGAAGTAGCCGGGCGGCTGGTCCCCGAGGTCGCGCGCCGTGCTGTGGCCCGCGGAGTCGGGCGGCGCGGGTTCGACGGCGTCGGACACGGAGAGCGATCCGCCGACGAGGACCTCGCACGACACGCCCGACGCGTCCCAGATGGCCTCGACCTGGCCCTCGCGGCCGCAGAGCTTCTCGTTGTAGATGCAGGGGACGCAATGCCGATGCACGAAGACGCGGCACTCGTCGCCGAGCCGGAGCTCGCGGCCCTGGAAGGCCATGAGTTCCTCCGCGGAGAGACCGCGGACGACGACGTTTCTCCGGAAGTCGCCGTAGGACCGCCGCGGCGCGAGCGCGCCCTCGAGGCCCGCGGCTTTCAAAGCCGCGTCGATGCCGTCGGCGCTCACGATCGTCAGCTGGCGGCCGGGCTCGCGCGCGCCGGGCTCGCGGAGCGACCGGCGGAACGCCGAATAGGAGCCCGTGAGATGGGCGTAGCGGTCGCCCGCGATGCCCGCGCCCTCGACGAGCGTCACATTGCGGTGCGATCTCATCGGCGCGCCGGACTCCTTGGCCGTGTAGAGGCCGACGATCTTCGGCTTCTTCTTCTTTTTCAACGGCGAGGCGCCGAGGAGCGACGCCATGAGGGGGTAATTGGACATCGAAACGTGCGCGCGCGCCGTCTGAGATGCGCGGCGGGTGCGCCAAAACCTCGCGCGCGTCGGAGATGCGCGCGGTGGCGCGGATGGTGCTGCAAAGCCTCCACTAAAATCAGTGGCAGTTTTTCAGCACGCGGGGGGACGCACCCGTCGAGACCCGCCCGCGACTATATAATCCATGGCCGATGACGTTCGAAGCGACGCACAGGGCGAAAACCATGAGTTAACCGACGTCGACGAGGAGGCCGGGCACGAGCGGCTCTCGCCCGGCGCCGCGCCGCGGGAGATGTACATCCCCCAGGACGAGGCGACGGCCTTCATCGAGAGCCTCATGGAGCAGGAGGGCTTCTGGGAGGGCGTCGGCGAGAAGGGCTGCGCGCTCTTTCCCGGTTTGCGGTGGATCTACACGGCGAACGTCACCGCGCCGGGCGGCCGCCACTACTGGACCGTCGAGGGCACGTCGGAGAATCTGCTGCTGGCGGTCTGCACGCGGGAGGACGGCACCATGTCCTGCCAGAGCCGCGAGGATCTCGCGGAGCGCGGCTGGGACCGTCTCGCGCCCGCGTAACGAGACGGTTTCGCGCGACGCGCGACGTTTTCCCGAGACAGGAACGCGCGAGTTCCCCCCCAAAAAAGACGGCCATTATTGTCGCAGGCGCGCGCATCGAGGTCGCCTACGAGGAGCACCGCGCCTTCGCGGAGAACATGCGGCGCATGGTGGAAGGAGACCCCTGGTCGATCCGCGACAAGCCCCTGCTCGTGCGCTGCGAGCACGACAGCGGGGGCTACGCCTGCCGCGTGCTGATTTTCGACGAGGAGAACGTCGGCGACGTGACGTCGCTGTCCTGGTGGCGGCCCGCGCTGAGCCACGAGCGGGTCCTGGAGCTCGACGCGCGGCGCGAGGCCGCGCGGGCCGTCGAGCAGGCGGGGGATCACGAGAACGCGGTCGTGGCCTACGACGACATCCTGGGCGTGCTCGACGGGGCGCTGCGGGACCCGGCGCTGGGACCCTGCTGCGCGACGCAGGCGCTGCTCGCGAAGTGCCTCTTCTCGCGGGCCTCGTGCCGCCTCGCGCTCGGCGGGCGCGACAACCTGCGGAGCGCCTTCGATGACAGCCAACGGGCGCTGACGAACTCGAGGCACTCGGGCTGGTTACGAGCTGGATTGGATGAGGACGCGGTCATCTTGGCCGACGACTTCGAGCAGCTCCGAGGGCGCATGATCGATGCGATGGGCGACCTCAGCGAGGCGCTGGCGGCGCGGCCCCGGGCGACGCACGTCGACGGCGTCATGGACTGGCAGATCAAGCAGAGGGAATTCGAGGCGCAGAAGGCGCGGGTCAAAGAGCTCCGGCTTCGCCTGACCTGCACCATTTGTGGTGCCAAACCGAAGACCTTGCTGAACTGCCCCTGTGGCACGACGCAATACTGCACGGTCGCCTGCCAACGCATCGATTGGCGCGACCGTGGCCACCGGCAGGCTTGCAAAAAGATCCGGGACGAGCGCGCGGCGGAGGCCGCGCGGGCCGAGGCGCCGACGCCCCCCTCGCCGCCGCGGGAAATTTTCTACGGCCCCGCGCCGCGGTCGCACGCCGACGAGGTCCGCGCGCGCATCGCCGCGGAGCACGAGGCCGCCCGCGCGCGACGCGAGGCGAACCCGGAGCCGGAGCCGACGTACGGGGCGCGGTTTGGGTCGCGGTGCCCGATCTGCATGGAAGAATGGGACGTGAATGATGCTCCTTATCTTCAATTCTGCTGCTGTCTAGCAATATGTGATTCGTGCCATGCCAAGACCAAAAACGAAGCGTGTCCTCTCTGTCGTGTGCCGTTGGCAAAGGACAATGCTGAGCTTCTGGCTCGCCTTCGTCGCCATGTAGAGAACGATATTCCGGAAGCGATGTGGCAGCTGGCGCAATTCTACGACCAGGGAAATTTCGGGATCATAAGAAACCAGAAGAAGTGCGTGAAAATCTTGAAACGTGCCGTGGAGCTCGGGTGCGTGGAGGCGATGGTGTTTCTTGGATATCTGTACGATACTGGACGGGGCGGCAAGGTGGATAAGAAGAAGGCGATGCAGCTCTATCGAATTGCAAGTGATAAGGGAAGTGTGCAGGGTCGATACAACTTCGGAATGATGCTGCGGGAAGACGAGCGTCATGAAGAGGCATTCACTTTGTTGAAAGCCGCCGCTGATCGCGGCCACACACATGCTATGTACACTACAGGAAAATGCTACGTGCACGAAGAGGGCGTTGCACGCGATCTCGACGAAGCCAAGCGCTGGTTCGCGCGCGCCGCCGCCAACGGCGACGAAGAGTCCAGCGCCGTGTTCGAGGAGATGAACGCCAGCGGTTAAACGCAGATATAGATTCATATGAGCGCTGAATGGCGCGGGGCAAGGGGCTTATTAAGATCGCCACTTCCCAAAAGCTTATCAAAACAGCCCCCCGCCCGGCCCGCAGAGATAGGGGTGGGCCTTCTCGAGGACGCGCTTGAACGCGCCGTCGCCGCGGAGGATGAGGCCCAGCACGCGCCGCGCGAGGTCCGCCCGCGACCCGCCCGGCACGCCGAAGGGGTCCAGGAGCCGGTGCGTCGTGCCCCCGGCCTCGCACGTGTCCTGCCGCCGGTCGCTCGTCGTGTTGCCGCCGCGGTTGAGCACGAAGACGAGCGCCGGCAGCGCGCCGCCGGCCCCGAAGTGGCGCTGGCCCACGTCGCCCTGCGCCGCGAGCACGCCCAAGGCCTCGAAGGCGACGTCGAGCTCCGCGGGCGTCGCGCTCGGCGACCGGATGGTTCGCGCGAGCGCCGCGACCCACGGCGCCTCCGAAAAGCGGCGCGCGAGCGCGACGCGCGGCCCCCGGAGCGCGTCCGCGTACTCCGGCGTGCCCTCCGCGGCCCGCAGCTCGTCGAAGCCGCAGGTCGTCGCGTTGAGGCAGCACTGCAGCGCCGCGACGCGGACCTCCGCGACGTGCTCGTCGCCCGCGAGCGGCAGCAATTGGTCGACGACGTCCATGGCCGCGAGCTGCCGCGCGGCGTCGTCCTGCGTCGGCTCCAGGCGGAACAGCGCCGCGAAGGCCTTCGTCGCGCCCCGCTTCACCGAGGACCCGCCGCCCGGGCGGCTCAGCGCGCGCGCCGCGTTGACGATCGTCGCGAGATGGGCCGGCGCCACCGCGGTAAACGCCTCGCCGACGTCGTCGTCGACGGCGCCCCGGGGCAGGCCCGCGTCGGCCGTCAGCAGCTTCGCCGCGACGCGGACGACGGCCTCCATGTGGTCCGCGACGGGCGCCTCCGGGTCGTGCAGGAGCACGAGGACGTCGCGCAAACACTCGCCGACGCGGCAGATCACGCGCTCCCCGAGCGAGTGCGCGCGGTCCCCCGGGCAGTAGTGCTTCCTGGGCACGAGGCGCGCGAGGTCGAGGTCCTGCACGCGCAGCGCCGCGTCGAGGCAGCGGTCGAGCACCGCGGCGTCGTCGACCATCAAGGCGCACACGCCCGCGTTGACGCGCCGCCGCCGCGCGGCGTCCGCCGGCGCGTCGCCCGACCGCGGCGCGACGGACGCCGTGCCCCGGGCGACGTCCGCGACGCCGTCGACGGCGTCGGCGAAGCGGCTCAGGTGGGGCACGGTGACGCGGCCGTCGTCCAAGCGCGGCCTCGAGCGCCTCGAGCGGCTCGAGGACGTGGACCCGGAACCAGCGCCGCGGCTCCGCCTTGCCCATCACATAGAGCTCCGCGTCGTCGGCCGCGCGGCGCACCTCGCGCTCCTCGAGGCGGAAGAAGCGGCCCCGGTCCAGGTCCCGCGCGTCGGGCCGGTCGCGCGGGTCGACCCGCAGACACGCGGCGACGCAGGACGCGGGGCCCGTGAGCCGCCGGGAGCCGCCGCCCTCGGCGAGCGCGGCGAAGATGGCCCGCCGGTCGCCGCCCGTCGCGTCCGCGAGGACCTTCGCCTCGCCCTCGCGGAGCGAGAAGCCGAAGCCGTCGCGGAGCACGGCCTCGAGCGCCTCCGCGGCGACGGGCGCGTCCGCGTGCGGCGCCTCCGCCTCGAGGGCCGCGAGGATCTCCGACGCCAGGTCCTCGCGCGCGACGCTCGCGTCGTAGCCGGGCCGGAAGCTCCGGTCCGCGACCGCAAAGAGACGTCGTTGCGGAGCGCGGCGACGATGTCGTTCGCGTCCGCGGACGGCGACGCGTCCCCCGCGCGCCAGATCGCGCCGAGCTCGCCGTCGCGCATGGCCCGAAGGTAGCCCTTCGCCTTGAAGGACGCGTCGGGCAGCGTGCCGTCCGCCGCGAGCGCCGCGCCGCCGCCGCCGAGGTCCCGCCGCCGCGCGTCGTCGTCGTCGCCCGCGGCCGCCTCGCGCTCCGCGTAGAAGGGGCAGTAGTGGAAGCTCTCCGCCGCGCGGCGCAGGGACCCGCCGGCGACGTCGCGCGTCCGCGCGTCGAGGCCCGCGTCGCGGCGCCGCAGGAATTTGCGGAACTCGTCGAAGAACGCCGCGGGCCGAGACCCCGAGACGACCTCGGCCATGAGCACGCCGACGAGCCACGTGTCCCATTTCGCCGTCGACGCCTCGTCGGAGCAGCGCCAGGTCTTCGCCGACCGCGGCCGCGGCGCGTCGGACGCCCGCCGCTCGGCCGCCGTCGCGTCGACGTCCGCGTCGGACGACGCGCCCGTCCGCGTCTCGACGACGAGCGCCTCGGGCGGCGTCTGGGGCGAAGTCGGCGACAGGGTCAACGGCCGGCCGCCGTCCAAATACCCCCGGGCGTCGAGCTGGCCCGGCGCGGCGAGCACGACCTTGACCGCGCCGCCGCCGGCCGCGACGAGCACGCGCTCGCTCCCCAAGGTCCGCACGAGGACCCCGAAGGCGTGGCAGTGGGCCACGGCCTCGACGACCTGGCCGATCCAGAACCGGGCGACGTGGCCGAGGTCGAGCCCCAGCCCCCCGCGCGTGTCCAGGAGGTGGCGCAAACTCGTCGAGCCCTCGAAGCGGTCGAAGGCCAACCACCGCGCGGGCCGCGTCGCCTCGTCGAAGGACGCGACGAGCCCCCGCAGGATGCCCGGGCACGACGCTAAATCCTCCGACGACACGAGGCGCTGCGTCGCGTGCTGCTGCTCGCCCGAGAGGTCGCTGGTCAGCTCCAATAACGTCGCGGCGCGCCGCTCCGCGTCGCCGGACGTGGACGATACCTCGCCGAAGTAGCAGACGCCGTCGTCGGCGCCGCAGGAGGGCCGCCGGTAGTCGCAGTCCGTGACGCGGTAGCGCCGGTCGCTCGCCCGCCAGGCCTCGAAAGGGGCGGTCTCGTCGCGCGGGAGCCGCGGCTCGAGCGCCGGCCGCGCGCGCGCGTTCAACGCCCGGTCCACGCGCACCAGCGCCGGCGACGACGCCGCGAGGGCCTCGAGGCGCGCCGCGCGCACGTGGTCGCACCAGGCCGCGGCCTCGCCGCAGCGCGCCCAGCGCTCGAGCCAGCCCGCGTCGCCGTCGCGCTGCAAAGCGTCGACGCGCGCCGCGATCGTCGCGCACGCGTCGCGCGCGCCCGCCTGGAGGTCCCCCGCCAGGACCGCGTCCTCGAAGCCCGCGCCGTCGACGTCCTCGTCCATGGGCAGGTCCCGGGGCGCCTGGGCCACGGGCCGCCGCAGCAGGAACGCGCTCGGCGCGGCCGCGCGCGTCCGCGCGCGCCGGTCCACGACCTCTAAGAACTCGCGGAGGCCGAGGAGCGTCGAGGGCGCCAACGCGTCCAGGCCCAGGTCGTCTTCGAGGGCGCCGAGCTCGCGCACCTCCGCCGCGAGGCGGTCGAGCTGGAGCCGGCTCCGGCCCTCGCGCGTCGCCAGATTCCGGAACGCGACGCCGCAGTAGAAGCGCCGCTTCGCCCGCGCGTCGGCGTGCGTCGCCCGCAACAGGACGGCGTCGTCGAAGGCGCCCCGCAGGGCGTGGCGCCGGGGCGGCGCGCCCGTCCGCAACACGACGTCGCGCGTCGCGTCGGCGACCTGGGCAGCAAAAGGGTGCGAAATTCCCAACTTCAAAGGCTCCTTCCTATCTCGGTCGTTTTCCGCTCGTTTCGGCTGATTTTTGGACGAGCGATCATCTCTCGGAGCGCTCTCGAAGCGTGGGTGCTATTTCCGAAACGCGCGCTCGCGGAACACTCACGTTGAAGCGACGTTGAATCACCCTTTTGCTGCCCCGTCGGCGACTCGCTGCTCGACGGCGACCTCCGCGGCGCGCGACGCCTCCACGCCGCGCCGCTGGTCCACGAGGGCCACGCGGAAGGCGTGGAGCGACGACCGCCAGGCGTTGAGCGTCGCGTGGGCCGCCAGCGCGTCGCGGTCCTTGTCCACATCGTCCGCGACGTGCGCGCGGTCGCGCCGGCTCCCGAGCGCGCACCGCGCGAGCGCGAAGCACACGACGCTCCGGCGCGTCTTCCCGTCGGGCGCCGTCGCCGCGACCTCCGCCGCCAAGGTCTCGACGGCCTGGGCGCCGCCGGGGGCGCCACCGTCGAGGAACGCGCGCGCGCCGCCGAGCGGGCCGCGGTCGCGGCGCCGCGCGTCCTCGACGACGTGGCGGCAGTCCTCCTTGGGGTCCTCGCCGCAGCGGCAGAAGAGCACGAGGTCCACGGCGAGCTTGCGCAGCGTGTCGACGTCGCCGCCGCGGGGCTTCGTGAGCAGGTGGAAGTCGCCCGACGACGCGGCCATCGCGTCCGCGATGGTCTTCACGTTCGGGTGCACGGACGACGCGACGTAGGCCACGCGCAGGATCCGCTCCCGCGCGTGGAACGCCGCCGTCAGCGCCGGGTCCGCGCCGACCTCGAACAAGGCCGCGTCCTCCACGCGGAGCAGCGCGCTCCGCGCGTCGAAGCGGTCGCACGGCGCGGCCAGCACGACGCCGTCGTCGAGGAGGTAGAGCAGGCCCCGCGCGCGGTGCGGGCCGTCGTCGCGGGCGAAGCGCTCGTCGAGCTCCGCCGCGCGCTTCGCGGCGACGTCGGGGACGGCGACGCGCGACCGCGCGTATGTCGACGCCAGAGACACGGCGAGGAGCTTCGTCGCGGAGAACTTGGCCCGCTTGTCCGCGAAGGGCGAGCCTGCTTCGGGACTCGCGACGCCGGCGAGGTGCAGCGCCGCTCGCTGTGGATTGCGGCGCGTCCACTCGTCGGCGAGGGGCCGGTAGTAGCCCGGCGACCCGCAGACGTGCGGCAGGAACGTCGCGGAGACGAGCCCTAAAGACGCGTCGCGCGGGTCCCAGAGGCGCAGCGTGCCGTCGGCGGAGGCCGACGCCAGGAGGGACGCGTGCGGCAGGAATGCGAGGGCCGTCACGGCGCCCTCGTGGCCCCGCAGCCGCCGCCGCGCGGAGACGACGCCCCGCCGCGTCCCGGCGACGAAATTCTCGACCGCGCTCGCCGTGACGAAGCCGTCGCCGTCGACGTCGAGCGCGAGGGCGACGGCGCGCGGGTCGACGTAGGCGTAGCCCTTGTCGTCCGTGTCGTCGCCAAAGTCGATGACGGCGTTTCGCAGTTCCGCGAACGCGTCGGCGAACGCGTCCGCCGCGATCGCGCCCGCGCCCCTCGCGTCGAGGGACCCGAAGAGCTTGGCGACGGACGCGCGCCTCCGGTCGTGGTAGACGGCGACGCGCGCGTGCTTGGCGACCTTCGCGCGCGCGTAGGTCGACGCGTTGTTCTCCGTCGGCGCCTCGTGGACCTTTAAAGGGTCCCACAGTTCCAGCGACCCGTCGTCGTCGAACTCGACCTCGACCAAATCGCCCTCGCCCGTGATCTCCGACGCCTCGAAGATGGACGTGATGGTGCCGATGCGCCAGCCGGGCTCGAGACCCACGGCTTGCGCGGCGGCCCCGAGGATCTCCCGCGCCTTCCGCACAAAGTCCGGGCCCGGCGGCGCGCCGCGCGCGCCGCCGAAGCGCCGCGGCCGGTCCCAGACCCGCAGCGTCGCGTCCACGGAGCCCGTGGCGCACAACCGCAGCGCCGGCAAGACGCATAGACAGCTCACGGCCGCCGCGTGGCCGGGCATGATCTGGCAGAGCAGGCCCGACCGCGCGTCGAACGCGCGGAGCGCGGCGTCGCCATGGACGGACCCGACCAACACGCCGTCCTCCGCGACGAACTCGTAGCGCGCGAGGGCGCCGACCGAGGACCACTCCGGGTTCGGGAGATGGCAGGCCTCCGGGTCGTCGAAGAAGCCGAGGCGGAAGTCGCGCATGGGCGGCAGCTCGAGGCGCACGCGCGCCGTCCGCCCGAACGTCGCGACCTCGTGGAACCGCAGGCAGCCGTCGCCGGCCGTCGTGTTCACGCAGAGCGTCCGCGCGCCCGCGTGGAAGCTCAATATCTGGGAGGCCGGCTCCAGAGCCAGCAGTCGCTGCGCCAGTTTCTTCGGCAGCGGCGCGGCGTCGCCGTCGTCGTCCGCACCGTCGCCCTCCTCGTAGCGCGGCGTCCGCTCGGGGGTCACGACGAGGAGCGGCGTCGACCCGTTGCGCATCTTGCTCACGGCGTCCCAGCTGTCGAGCACGCCGTCGTCCGTCAGCGAGAAGACGACGTGGAGCGCGTCGTCGACCACAACTTCGAGGACCCGGGGCCGCCGCGGCGGCGCCTCGCGCACGAGCGCCAGGTCCGCAGACGCCTCCTCGGCGGCGGGCCCGCGGAACGTCGGCGCGCCGGCGAGGGACGCGACGACGGGCGACGGGCCGGCGCGGAAGAGCTCCGCCGGCGGCGGCGGTTTCCTCGATTTCCCCGGCGCGGCGACGTCGCCGAAGACGAGCGCCTCGACGTGGCGCCACGTGAGGAAGCAGTCGTGCGTCGGGTCGAAGGACGACGTCGCCACGTCCGCGAAGACGTCTCGCAGGTTCGCGTCCCGCCGCACCTCCAGGTTCAGGAAGGGCCGCACGTCCGCCGCCTGGCGGAGCTTCTCGACGAACGCCGGCCCCGGCGCGCCGTCGAGCGACCGGCCCGCCGCGCGCGACGCCTCCGCGACGGCGCCGACCCAGAGCGGCCGCAGCGTCCAGAGCACGTGGCGCCGCCAGCCGTTGATGCCGCCGCCGAGGTAGCGGCCCTCGTGGTCCACGGGCACGCCCAGGTCGCCGCAGTGCTTCGCGCGGAGGTCGACGAGGTCCGCGAACGTGAGCAGCGCGCCGTAGTCGTCGCGCGCGCACGCCATGGCGTGCGCCTCGCCGGAGCCCAACGCGCCCTCCAGATCCCGGAAAACCGCGGGCAGCGCGTCGGCGCTCAAATAGCCGTCGTCCGTCTGGTGGCAGCGGAACGCGAGGCCCAGGTCCGCGCGCGCGCCGTCCGCGAGGCGCCAGGCCCAGGCGCCCTCGGCCCGCGACGTCGCCGCGCGCAGCGGGACGCGCGCCACGTCCCGGGCGTCGCGCCGGTAGAACCGGGGCAGGACGTCGTCGACGAAGTCGAGGTCGCGGTGCGCTTCCAGCGCGAGATCGCCGAAAAGCGCCGCGACGTCCGCGTCCGCCTGCGTCGCCGCCGCGACCATCGCCGGCGTCAAAAAGCCCGTGCGGTCCTTGTCGACGCGGTCGAACAAGCGCCGCAGGTCGCTCAGCGTGAACCCGTCGCCGAAGCTCACGAGCGCCTCGTCGTCGCCGCGCGCCTCGCGGAGCAGCAGCGACCCGAGCGGCGCGACGGACCCCGCGAGGCCCGCGCCGTCGCGCGCGAAGACCGCGTGGGCCAGCACCGTGGACCGCGGCACGGCGCGCGCGTCGAAGCGGGCCTGGGCCTCCCGGCTCGCGAGGAGCCGCTCGCCGAGCGCGCACGCGCGGTCGATCGCGGGTTTCAAAACGTCGTTGTGGACGAAGAGGATCGCCGCGGCGCGGCGGAACGTGTCCCTCTCCTTGGCCGTCGCGCGGAACATGACAACGGGCGCGCCGACGCCGTGGTTGTACTGCAGCGGCCCGCTCAGGTGGATGGACCCGAGCCGGCTCACGAACTTCTCCTCCTGGAGGCCGCCGACGTGGCCCACGCGCGCCTTCCAGCCGACCTTCCAGCCCGCGTTCGACGCGACGTGGAGCACGGTCGCGCCGGCCTTGGCCGGCTCCGTGAGCGACGTCTTGACGTCCGTGACGCCCTCGGGCCGGAGCTGGCCGTCCACGACGGGCCCCTGCTGCGGCGCGTGCGCGGGCGCGTACTCGGGCCGCAGGAACGTCTTGTCGTGCTCCTTGCGCGGGTCGAGGCGCGAGCTCTTGGACGGGCGCGCGCCGCTGAACTTCATGGGCTTCTGCGCGGGCTCCTCCTCGTACGCGCGGCGCGGCGCGACGGTCTTCTTCGCGGTTTTGAGCTCGTGGAGCTGCGACGCGAGGCGGTCCGCCAGTTTCTTCGCCTTGACGGCCTCGTGCTCCGCCTTCGCCTTGGCGACCTCGGCGTCGCGGAGCTTCTTCGCTTCCAGACGCGCGCTTCTTCTCCGCGACGGCCGCCTCGCGCTGGCGGTGCGCGCGGGCCGTCGACGACCGCGCGGGCATCGTCGACCGCGCGGCGTTGGCGAAGGACGGCGCGGCGCTCTTCGGGCGCTCCTTGGTCGCCGCGGGGACGGCCGTCGTCGTCGCGGACTTGGGCCGCTTGTCGACCTTCCTGCCCGCGGCCGCGGCCGCGTCGAGCGCCGCGCGCTCTTTCAGATACGGCAGCGCGGCCTCGAGCTCGAGGGCCCGCGCCTCGAGCTCGGGCAGGGGCGCGTCCTTGGGGAGCACGAAGAGGCCGCCGTCGGCCTCGCGGAAGCCGAGGGCCACGAAGAGCTTGAGCCCGCCGGGCACCGCGAGGATCTTCTCCTGGAAGACGCGGTTCGACGTCGACAGCCGCCGGTACTTGTCCGCCGTCGGGTGCTCGAGCACGTTCCGTAAGTACTTGATGCAGATGGACACGATGGTCACCCACGTGTTCACGTCGCCGCCGAGGCCGTGGATGCCCGCGGTCACCGCGCGGACGTCGGACACCGTCGGGTGGTCGAGCGCCGTCGCGCGGCCCTGCAATTCCGCGCGGACGAGGCGCAGCTCCTCGAGCACGTCCGCCGGCACGCTCGCCCACTTCTCGCCGCCCCGCGACCGCAGGGCGAGCACGGCGCCGTTTTCTTCGAGCTGGAAGCCGCACGCGACCATCAAAGAGACGCCGCCCGCGTGGCGGCCGACGGCCCGCTCGAAGGCCGCGTCGCTCAGCTTGACGCGCCAGTGGTTCCCGTCGCTCGGCGCGTCGATGATGCGTTTTAACGTGCGGAGCACGTGGGCGCAGACGTTCGCCGCCTCGCGCAGCGTGCACGACACGCGGAGCGTGCCGACGGCCGCGGCGACGCCGAAGTCCGCGGCCTCCTTCGCGGCCTTTTTTTTCGACACGCTCAGCGCGAACATGGGCGCCAGGGCATTCAGGAAATCGGATAGGGACACGGTGCCGTCGCGGTCCGCGTCGTGCTTCGCGATCCAGCGGTCCAGCGCCTCGCCGTCGCTCGGTTTGCCGAGCTTCGTAAACACGGTCTTCAGGTCGCTCCGCGTCACCGCGCCGTCGCCGTCCACGTCGTAGGCCGCGAAGGCGCGCCGCGCCATCTGGAGCTGGGCCTGCTGGACGTGCGTGCCCCGGCGGAGCATCGACTCGAGCTCCGACACGCCCGACGTCTTCACGATTTTCCCCGCGCGATCCTTGCCGACGACCTTGCGCCCCGCGCCCTTGGTGCCCTTGGCCTCGAGTTCGTCGACGTCCTTCTCGAGGGACCGCAGCGCGTCCTCGAGGTCCGCGAGCGCGCGGTAGAGGAACGCCTCGGTCTCTCCGTCGAGCTTCGGGAAGGAGAAGTCGCGCCGCTGCGACGCCTTGGGCAGATCCGCCTGGCCGCGCAGTTCGAGCACGAAGAACGCCTTCGTCGCGTCGGGCCCGAAGCCCACGGACCGGAGCAGCGCCGCGCCGCCGGTGTGGCGCAGCACGGCTTTCGCCAAGACGCCGTTCTCGGCGCGGACGCGGTAGACGCGCGGGTCGCCCGGGTTCTTGAGCACGTTCGTCACGAGCTTGTGCGCGAGGTCCGCCGCCGCCTTGAGGTCGCCGGGCCCGCACTTGTGCTCGCGCATCTCGCGGAGCGCCGCGTGCACCGAAGGAGCGCCCAGATGCGTCGCCAGGGACACCTCGATCTCCTGGAGCCGCGCCTTGAGGAGCATGACCGTGTCGCCGGGCAGGCGGTCCAGAGGCCGGTGCCGCGCGTCGGCCACCGTGCCCTTGATGGCGAGCCACTCGCGCTTTTTGGACCCGCTGCTCGACGTCGCGTCGACGACGCGCTGCCCGAAGCCGATGGCCGCCATGAGCTCCTTGCCGCCCCGCAGGCGCCCGATGCGCGACGCGAAGGCCGCGTTGTCCGTCGCGACGCGCCAGTACTGCGTCGACGCCGGGAACTCGACCGCGTTGGCCACGTAGCGCGCCGCGAGCTCGCCCGCGGCGCGGACCTCCGCGGGCGTCGACGTGAGCCGGAGCCGCGCGAAGGCCGACGCGACCGTCGCCTCCGTCTCGCCCGCGGCCTCGACGAGGTGGCCCGCGATGGAGAAGAATTCCGCGAGGGTGAAGGGCGCGTACTTCTTCGACTTTTTTTGCCGCCGCGACGCGTCGTCGTCGTAGTCGCCGTCGGAGCCCGCGTCGCCCTTGGCCTCCTCCCGGTCGCTCCGGTCGTCGTGGTCGTCCGCGGGCCGCTGGAAGGCGCGGAGCACGGCGTCGCGCAGCGCGTGGTGCTTCTTCGTGTCGAGCTTGCACTTGTGCAAAATCGTCTCCGCGCGGCTCGCCGGCAGCTGGCCGAGGCGGTCCGCGTCGAGCGCCTCGAAGGCGTCGCGCACGTGTCGCACGAGCTCGCCGATGCGCACGGACCGCCCGACGCAGAGGCGCCGCACGAGGCTCCCGTGCTGGAGCGGCGTGCCCTCCCACTTCTCCTCCGCGAAGACGACGGACGCGATCTCCGCCAAAGGCCGCAAGGGGCCGTCGGCGCCGTCGACGGCGCGCGCCGGCGGGCGCACGTTGTCCAACGCGCTCGCCGTCGCGTCCGTGGGCGCGCGGCCCCGCTGCGACGCGACGAAGAGCGCGTGGTACGCGGAGACGAATTCGACGAACGACAGGAAGTCGTCGCGCTTCAGGCCGCTGTCCTTGAGCACGAGCTGCAGGCGGCTCGGCGCAATATCAAAACCCACGTCCCGGAACACGCTCCGCAGGTCGTCGACGGGCAGCCCGAGCCGCGCCTTGCCCAGCGACGCCGCGCCGCCGCGCGCCGCCGTGTGCGGCGCGCACCGCCGCTTGAAGGCGTCCTCGAGCTTCAGCAGCTGCTTGCGCCCCAGGGTCCGCGCCCACTCCGCGGCGATGGCCGCCTCGTCGGCGAAGAGGGCCGGCCCGTCGCCCGGCGCGCGGCCGCCCGCCGTCCGCGACGCCGGGTCGGGGCCCGCCGTCGGGTCGTGGAAGATGCCCGCGAAGCACTTGGCGAACTCGAGGAAGTCGAGCGTGCGCCGGCTCCGCGACCGCCGCCCCCGCTTGCGCAGCCAGTCGAGCACGTCGCTCCGCACGGCGACGCGGTGCAGCAGGCTGAAGGCCGCGAGGCAGTCGTCGACGTCGAGCTCGCCCTCGCGCATGCTGTCGGCCTTGTCGAAGGCGCCGCGCAAGGCCCGCGCGTGCTCCTTGCCCAGGAGCTTCTCGAGGCGCCGCAGCTCGTCGCGCTCGCGCTCGACGTCGCCGCGGAGCAACGGCCGGCGGCCGCCGCCGCCGCGGCGCGCGTGCGCGTCGACCGCGAGCGCCTCGAGGCACTCCCAGCTGCTCGCGCGCTTGCGGCTCGAGAGCTTCCCGGAGGGCTCGCGGGGCCGCCGCAGCTTCGACTCGTCGACGTTCTCGAGCTCCGTGCCGTCGTCGAGCTCCAGGTCGACCTCGCCGTCGCGGCCGACGCGCAGCACGCGGCCCTTGAGCCACTTGCCCATGAGCAGCGCCTCGACCTTCATGTCGCGCTCGGCCTCGAGGCCGCCGTCATGATCGTCGTCGGACATTATAGTCGCTGTGTGTGCTACGGGCAGCCCATCATACTTTGATCAATCGGGCGCGCAAACGCTGTGTTGCCTGGTGAACGCAGACCATATCATCGACGGTGCGGGGGACAACGACGACGAGCGCTGGGCGTCGGCGGCGCGGAGGGCGTCGGCCGCGTCTCCTCGGAGAGGTCTGCCCGGCGTGTTGCCGCCGCGGCCATGGCGCAGACGCAGGCGCAGACGCCCTACCGGCTGCTGACGCTCAACACCTTGGCCTTTCCCAAGGGGAAGCTGCCGCGATGCGAGCTCACGGGGCTGCCCGCGGCCGTGCAGTGCGTGACGCCGCACATCACGCTCTACTACGCGACGAAGGAGCACGCCGAGGAGGCCTGGCACGGCATCATGCACAAGATCGCGCCGCTCCTGGGCCCGCTGCGCGCGCCGTCCGTCGTCGTCGGGTCCGAGGAGGACCGCGCGAAGCGCGAGTACACGATGGAGATGTCGAAGAAGGCGCTGATCGATCTCTGCACCCAGGAGGCGTCGAAGTTTCTAGTCGCCGGCCGCTACGAGCTCGCCCTGCCGGGCGCGATCCAGGCGCTCGCGTTCCTCAAGGACATCCACGGGGAAGGCGCCGTCGAGATGATCGCGCCGTACCTGCAGCTGGCGGAGGCGAACTTAGGCCTGGGCCGCTTCCAGCAGGCCGAGGAGTTCCTGTCCCTGGCGAACTGGTCCATCCTCAAGAACCCGGACTGCAGCAACAACCTGCGGAGCCAGCTCCACCGGAATTTCGGGAAACTGTACAGCGCGCAGGGCAAGCTGGACCAGGCGCTCGTGGAGCTGAGCCACGACATCTACTGCTCGTCGCTCGAGGCGGGGCCGGAGCACATCGACACGTCCGCGGGCTACTACCACACGGCCTCCGTGTTCTACGCGCAGCACCGCATCGAGAACGCGCTGGCCTTCTACGACAAGGTCGTCGACATCTGGTACAAGTTCCTCGTCTCCGCGCGGTCCAACGCGGACCTCGCGGGGTCGCTGGGCGAGTCGCAGCAGCAGGAGGCCATGGACATGCTCGACCACGTCCTGAGCACGCGCGTCAAGCTCCTCGGCGACGGCCACATCGCGACGGGCGAGGCCAAGTACACGCTGGGCCTGCTGAATCTGTTCGCGGGCAAGGTCGACCCGGCGCGGGAGCACGTCCAGGCGGCCTGCGCGACCTACATGAAGCACCTCGGCCCGGACCACCCGTCGACGAAGGACATCCAGGAGGTGTTGGCGCGCATCATGGGCGACGACATGCGACCGGGCTCGCCGGGGCCCGACGGCGAGTTCCACCCGGACGCGACGCTCCAGCCCCCGGACGACTTCGCCTCCCACTTCCCCAGCGACATGCAGCGCGCGGCGACGCAGTCCCCCATCCCCATGCCCCCGCCGAGCGCGTCCGTCCCGCCCGTCTGAGCGCCGGCGGCCCGCTAACATTCGTCGAATGCAAAGGAGACCCATTGCACCTGGCTCATGTTCCTGGCCCGCGGCACCCGTCACGCGCGCACGCAGCGCTCCCGAGCAGCCTCCAAGCGCGCGACAGCCGGCGGCGCGCGCAGCGCTTGACGACCCAACGCTCAAGAGTGCCAAAACAAAGGCGCGAGCATGGCGTGGTGAAAAGTCGGGGTTTGAAGAGTCCAAAGCCGACCGCGCCGCCGTCTGACCGCGCCATGTCCAACTCCGTCAGCAACCGCCTCCTGGCGCCCGAGGTCTACGAGGCCGCGCGGCGCATGAAGGGCAACACGACCCAGGAGCCGAACCCCGGCGAGATGGTGTCGGCCTACGCGCGGGCCCAGCACATGTCGCCGCACAGCATCGTCGGGGGCTCGACGAAGGCGCCCAAGGCGCTCGTCGACGAGTACGGCCGGAAGATCAGCGAGATCCCCGAGGAGACGCGGATGAGCGAGACCCCCGCCGCGCCGCCGCCGCCGCCTCCGCCGCCGCCGCCGCCGCCGCCGCCGCAGCCGGCCGCGCCCGCGGAGCCCGCGCAGCCGATTCTCTACTCCTACACGCCGGCGACGGCGACGGCGCCCCAGCAGCCCCAGCAGCAGCAGCCTCAGCAGTACGGCGCGCCGTACCAGCAACAGTCGGGATACCCGCCGCAGCAGGGCTACGCGCCGCAGGGCTACGCGCCCCAGCCGCAGGGCTACGGCTACCCGCCGCAGCAGCCGCAGCAGGGCTACGGCTACCCGCCGCAGCAGCCGGGCTACCCGCCGCAGCAGCAGGGCTACGGCTACCCGCCGCCGCAGCAGGGCTACGGTTATCCGCCGCAGCAGCCGGGCTACCCGCCGCAGCAGCAGGGCTACCCGCCGCAGCAGGGCTACCCGCAACAGCCGGGCTACCCGCCGCAGCAGCAGGGCTACCCGCCGCCGCAGGGCTACCCGCCGCAGCAGGGCTACGCGCCGCAGCAGGGCTACCCGCCGCAGCAAGGCTACGCGCCGCAGCAGGGCTACCCGCCGCAGGGCTATCCCCCGCCGCAGCAGCAAGGCTATCCGCCGCCGCAGCAGCACGGCCCTCCGCCGCAGCAGCGAGGCCGTTCGCCGCAGCCGGGCGAGCCGGGCTACGTCTATCCGCAGCAGCGGGCGGACTACCGCCCCCCGAACCTCAACCCGCCGACCAACCCGGCCTACAAGTCGCAGCTCGAGCTCTACAAGCAGCAGCTCGAGGCCCACAACCGGGGCTCCCACATACCGGATACCGAGCGCCCCATGGGTGTCCGGTGGCACCCCGATGACGAGCTGAAGGAAGGACAGTAAGTCCGAATTTTCCCGGGAAAAGACGACGGGGCAGCGGCCGGCCCCAAGCGCCACCTCCATGTTGTCGGCGACGAGTGGCGCCGGCTGTGCTCTCCGGGGCCGCCTCTCGACCAATGAAAAGGCCTGCTTCCTGAAACATCAACAAGGTGAACAACAATAAGTCAAACAATTCAGTTGAACAATATCCGATCTTTCCACAAGGAGGCGGCGCGTGCAGGTGGCAGCCCGCGATCTTTGGAACAAGAGCTCTTCTCAATCCAAAGCACAAGCATCGATCCGCGTCCTACAACTTGCGCCCTGCCCGCCCCGCAGCCCCCCCCCGTTGCCCCGCAGCCTCCCCATTGCCTCCCGCGCAACGCGCCACACCCACTCACCGCGCCGCCCCAACGCAGACACTCACTCATCACAATGAAGCTCGCCCTCGCCCTCGCCCTCGTCGCCCCGGCCGCCGCCTTCCAGGCGCCGGCCACCCAGAAGGCGTCCGTCGTCGTCAAGGACTCCATCGGCGTCGACCCCGGCCCGATCGAGCCCTCCGGCCTCTTCTGGGAGGACAAGGAGTCCCTCGCGCGCCGCCGCGCCGTCGAGATCAAGCACGGCCGCATCTCCATGATGGCGTTCCTCGGCATGATGGTCCAGGAGCTCGGCATCACCTTCCCGGGCTCCATCAACCTCGATGGCTCCGTCGCGTTCTCCGACATCCTCAAGGACGGCATGGGCTTCCCGGCGCTCGCCAACGTGCCGACGCTCGGCCTCGTGCAGATCCTCGCCTTCGGCGGCATCGCCGAGACCGTCGCCATGCCCGCGACGGAGTACACGGGCGGCCCCCAGAACCTCCCCGGCGGCTACGACGGCTCCGCGGGCACCATCCCCGGCGGCTACCCCTTCACGACCCAGATCGAGGACCCCACGGCCCGCACGCGCGCGCTCACCTGCGAGCTCCAGAACGGCCGCGCCGCCATGCTCGGCGTCACGGGCGCGATGATGCACTCCCAGCTCGACTCGTGCGACCACCACTTCTTCTACCCCATCACGCACAACTAGACGCGGATCGACGGACGTGAGCTCGGCTTCCCCCCGGGGATACGCCTCCCAGATGCTCCTAAGTCGCTCTTCTTCTACCTTGCGGTTGTGTTGTGTTCCGCAGCGGCTCCCAGCAGCACGTCTTCCGCGCCCTCCTCGGTCTCGCAACAGTGCGCCAGCGCCCCTGCGAACACTCGCGCGGAGCCGTCCGGCCGCGGCATCGGGTTCCGAAGAACCGACAATTACACGAAGCACACGTCGACGGGGTAGCTCTTGGCCTTGAACGAGTCGGCGGGCCGGCCGCCGCGCGGCGAGTCCGGCGCGGGGATCGCGTCCGTCTGGATCATCTCCACGGCGCCCCGCGGCACGTCGGAGACGCAGCGCGGGAAGTTGACGTCGCGGAAGTTCGGCGACCGCGCGTAGGCGCAGGCGTGCCGCCGGCAGCAGAGGTAGTCGCGGTAGGACCCGCCGCAGAACCACATGGACCGGTGCACGGGGAAGAGGGCCAGGAAGAGGAGCGACTGCCACGCGAGGTTGAAGGCCTGCTGCTTGAGCTCGTTGAGCGCCCAGCGGCGCCCGACCTCGGAGAGGGTCACGTGGTTCGACCCCCGCTCGCGCGCGCAGACCCAGGCGACGACGTAGCCGATGAACATGGTGTGCGCGACCGCGAGCCAGACGAGCGCGGCGTCGCCGAACTTCTTCCGCCGCACGAGCTTCGCCGCGTGGCGCTCCGTCGCGTCGGCGTCGATCTCCCGGTGGAGGTCGTCGATGACGCGCCGGTAGAGGCACGGGCAGATGCAGAGCTGGCGGATGAGCACCGCGTACAAAATGACCGCGACGAAGCGCACGAGCACGAAGCCGTAGAACGACAGCTCCTGCCGCCGCGCGAGCGCGAGGTAGGACCGCGACGCGTCGCGGTGCGAATCCAGGGCCCGCTCGTCGAAGGCGCTCGACGCCTCCTCCGTGAACGACCACGCGAAGAGGAAGATGGTCGAGCAGTACCAGACGACGGCGCGCTCGACGCGCGAGAACGGGTGCATGGGGTGCGCGAGAAAGGGCGACACGACGGGGTTGATGTTCGACAGGTAGCCGACGTAGTTCGCCAGCCAGGAGCCGTCCGTGCCCGGGTAGCCGAACGTCGCCGGCACGGGCATGCCCCGCATGAGGAACCGCACGAGCTCCCGCGCGCCGACGTTGTCCAGCGACAGGCGCCGCAGCCGGTCCTCGAGGCTCGACGACCAGCTCAGGTTCAGGCGGTTCAGGTGCTCCTGGAGGCTGCCGCCGCGGCCGGCCTCGCCGAAGAAGCCGCCGACGTTGTGCTCCGCCGACGACGAGCTCGACGACGACGTCGCCGAGTCCGGCTCCTCGGGGGCCACCGGGTTCTGCGTCTCGACGTCCTCCTTGCACTCCTCGCGGCCGGGAGATTCGCCGCGCCGCGGGCTCGCCGCGAGCGCCCGCCCGCGCGTGTCGTGCGTCGTGTTGATGCCCAGGCGCCCGGCGCGGTCGAGGCCGCGCTCCATGCTGCTCCGGATCTGCGAGCCCCCACCGCCATTCCGCTTCAGCCACATGGGCGGGCTACGTCGCGCCGGAGCCGGAGCCGCACCTCCCGCGGAGCGCGCGGGCGGCTGCGGCCCGGGGGCTGCCGAACCACGAACACCAGCGCGTCGTTCCACCAGACGATTGTTGCAATTGCAGAAACAAGACAAGTTGCTGTGCACCTGCAGCGGCGCCAATGCGATGGGGCTGCCTCGCAGCGCTCTCGCGCTGTTCGCACTATTCGCGCGCGTCGGCGGCGACGCGACGATCTGCGTGCGGTCGGCGCCGAACCCCGAGTTCCAGGCGAGCCCGCTCAACTACGCGCACTGGCTGCTCGCCCACGCCTACCCGACGATCGTCGCGCTCGACGGCAAGCCCTGGACGACCGTGCGCTTTCCTCTCGTCTACGGCGAGAACGAGCTGCTGGCGACGTGGCGGCGCCAGTACGAGGCGCTCCTGGCGCCGGCGGCCGTCGAGTTCGAGACGCGGAACGCGACGCTGCGGGCGGACGGCGCGACGGCGACCGTCGAGCTCTTCGGCGCCGCCGGGACGCTGGAGGCCCGCGTCGGCGCCGCCTGCGCGGCCCTCGGCGTCGGCGCCGACGCGTGCCGCCCCGTCGCCGGCCAGCTCGCGGCCGTCGCCGACCGGCGCGAGACGCCGTGCGACGCGACCGCGTCGATCGACGTGCCGCACCTCGCGTTCTGCGACAAAAACCACTGGAACGGCATAGACCGCCTCGCGACCCACGTCCGCCGGCGCTTCGCGACGCCCCCGTCGACGGCGCTCCTCGCGCCGAAGATCTTCGTGCTCCTCCGGGCGCCGCGGAAGGTGGTCGGCGGCGAGCCCGTCGGCCGCTCCTGGGACGTCGCGGGCCTCGAGCGCGTCTGCGCCGCGGGGTTCCTCGCCGCGCGCGCGAAACACGCGGGCGTCGCTGTCGAGTGCGGCGCCTTCGACGGCGACACGCCCCTCGACGACGTCGCGCGCGCGCTCGGGTCCGCGACGGCGTTGGTCGCGGCGCACGGCGCCGGTCTCGCCAACGCGGTCTTCCTGCCGCGCGGCGCCCAAATCTTCGAGCTCGACGCCGCGGGCCACGCGACCTTCCACCGCCACTTCTACCAGGACCTCGCCGCGGCGCTCGGGCTGCGGCCGGAGAAGGTCTGGCTCGACGGCGCCGGGCGCCGGGTTTCTCCTCGAACGATCGTCAACTGCACGCGGTTCCGGCCCGACGGGTCGCCGATCCTGACCCAGGCGCCGGAGGACCTCGCGGCGGCGCGCATCGTCGACTACACGGCGCCCGCGACGCTCGGGCCGGAGACGTTCCTCGAGCTCGTCGCGGCCGCCGCGCCCGCGGCGCGGCGGGAGCCCGCGCGGCTCCCGGCGGCGATCTACGACGTCGACGTCGGCGACGACCGCCGCACCTTCGCGCACGCCTACGGCGCGGACCTGCGCGCCGAGGCGGCGGCGTTCCTGGGGACGGACGACGTCGACGGCTTCGTCTGGGACGTCGCCGCGCGCGCGGCGCTCCCGGCGCCGCGCGCGGCGCGGACCTGGGGACTTGGAGAGATCACAGACGCGGGCACGCAAGAACGATGGACCCTCTACTGGGCATCGCCGTTCGCGGCCTGCCGCGGGCGGCGGCCGCGCGTCGGCGAGCGGCCCGCGGACGGCTGCGAGGCGTTGGTGGAGCGGGACTCTGGGCAGGAAACAAAAATATTCAACAAGACTTCACGGGTTTGACATAGCTTTTTCACTGTCTAGAAAGAACCCGCCGAGAGAAAACGATCCGTCCAAAAATCAGCCGAAACGATTGCGATGTGACCGAGATAGAGAGATTTTTGCTGGACGGGGCGTTCCACCGGTTCTTTCCGGCGCAGGTGGGACTGGCTCTTGGACGTCGTCTTCCCGGGCCACGCCGTCGAGGCCTGCCCGGGCCTCGACGTCGTCGCGGACCGCGCCGTCTACGTCGTCCACGTGCCGAACTTCGCGGACACGGGCGCCCACCGCGCGCGCGTCCGCGCGCTCGGCCGCGAGCTGAGACGGCGAAACTACCGCGCGATGCTCGTGCACCTGAGCGACGAGGGCGGCGACGTCGACGACTTCTACGAGCCCTGGCCCCTCGTGCTGCGCCAGTACTTCGACGCCGCGCTGGCGGAAAAGTGGGGCGGGAAGCTCCTGTTCCTGCCGCTCGGCTACGCGTCCGGCCACGGAAGGAAGGACGCGCCTTCGGCGCGCCGGCCCGTGACCTGGGCCTTCGTGGGCGACGCCAAGGGCAAGCCCACGCGGCGGAAGATGCTCGCGGCGCTGGGGGCCTGGCCCCGCGGCGTGTCGCACGTGACGTCGCGGTCGACGACGGGCCGGCCGTGGCGGCCCGACGTCTGGTCGGCGGCGACGCTGTCCGCGCTCTACACGTCCGCGCGCTACTGCCCGGCGCCCATGGGCTTCGAGTCGCCGGAGAGCTTTCGCTACTACGAAGCGCTGGAGGCCGGCTGCGCGCCCGTCGTCGAGGGCGGGTCCTACTTTTCCGACCTCCTCGCGCGCGTCGAAGCGAGCGTCGGCGGCGTCGAAAAAAGCCTCCGGGCGACGCTCCTCGTCGCCGACGACTGGGCCGCCGTGCCCGACGCCCTCGACGCGGCCGCCGACGACGAGGACCGCCGGCGGAGCGACACGGCGGCGGCCTGGGCCGAGCTCAAAACGAAGCTCGCGGCGACGGTCGCCGCCCGCGAGCGCGCGCTCGACGACGGGCACCGCCGCTTCGCCGTCTTCGTCGCCGTGCCCAAGACGGGCGGGCACCGGCGTTCGCTGACGAATTTCGAGAGATTTTGAGATGGGAAAACGACAACAAGCCGTCATGCACGGTAGGCACGCGCACGGTTCTCGCGGCGCTCCTCGGCGCGGGCGCGCGGGTGATCCAGGGGCGCGACGTCGACACGCGGTGCACGGAGTACGCCTGGTGGGCGCGGCTGAACGCCAACGAGACCGTGGCCTACCGGGGCCGCGCCTACGCCGGTCCGGAGTCCTGGTGGGACCTCGTCGCGGCCTGCGCGGCGGCGACGGCGGACGTCGCCGCGCGGACCGCGGCCGACGCGGTCTTCTACGACCACGTCGGCCGCCTGCCGGCCCTCGCGGGCCGCGCGGCCTTCGTCGCCGTGCTCCGCGAGCCGCTGGCCTGGGTCGCGTCCCACTTCTACTTCCTCCGCGGCGAACCGCCGCCCGTCGGCCTCGCGGGCGCGCCGAACGCGACGGCCTCGCTCGCCGACGCCGTCTTGGCGGACCCGCTCCTGGCCTACTTTTCCTTCTTCGCGGACGTGCGCAACGCCCAGGCGCGCTACCTCTGCGGCGCGGCGCCCGCCTGCCGGCAGCCGCACGCCCAGGCCCCCGAGGAGCTCCTCGACGCGTTCGCCGTCGTCGGCGTCCTGGAAGACCTCCGGGGCACGCTGCTCGCGCTCGAGCGCGCGCTCCCGCGCATCTTCGCCGGCGTCGCCGCCGCGCACCGCGACGGCGACCGCGCGTTCCTCCAGGCCGGCGACGCCGCGCGGCCCCGGGACGACCCGCTCCCGGCCGCCGCGGCGGACCGGCTCTCCGCGCTCTTCGCCGAGGACGCGGCGCTCCATCGCGCGGCGACGGCGAGGCTCGGGGAGATGCTTAGGGATGGGGATTAGTAACGGTGGTCAGTTTTGTCCTACGCCAACATCGATGTTTCCCTTAAGGTGGTCCTAAAGTGCCGCGCCACACGGCGCTGTCACGCGCGAAAAAGAACCCCCTAAGCACGTGAGCCGAGCTTAGCGGCCGCCCGGCGGGGACCAGAAGGAGAGGATGATGACTTGGGCGTCTTGGGGGAGCGCGAGGTTGGAGAGGATGCTCATGAGCGGGCGGCGGTGGCGCTCGACGCGCGCGTTCCAGCCGCCCTCATCGATGATGTCGACCATGTGGTCCTGGAGAGCTTCGCTTTTTGGCTTGATCCATTTCGTGGGCAAGACCGTGATGGGCGCGCCGGCGCGGAGCAGCGTCAGGGCGGCCTCGCGTTGACCGCCTAAGATGGCAAAACGCAGCGGGGTGTTACCCCGTCGGGTCCTCGCTTCCATGTTCGCGCCGGCGGCGATGAGAAGTTTGGCGGCATCAACGTGTCCACATTGAGACGCGGTGTGAAGAGGAGTCGTGCCATCGTTCCCTCGAGCGTTCACGTCCGCGCCCGCTCGCAGAAAAAGACAGATGCAGGCAGTGTTGCCGTAGTGAGCGGCGCTGTGAAGAGGAGTCGCGCCATCGTTCGCTCGAGCGTCCACGTCCGCGCCCGCTCGCAGAAGAAGAGGCACGCAGGCAGTGCTGGAAATATGAGCGGCCTCATGGAGCGCTACAGCGCCGTCTACTGTGGAAGGGATCTTCGCATCTGCTCCTTCGGCCAAGAGTATTTCGCACATCCCCGCAAGCCCTTTGACCGCTGCGAGATGCAGCAAGGGGAAAAGGCCGCGCGCTCCCGTGATTTGGTTTGTGCAAGGTATCATCCCGTTCACGTCGGCGCCGCGGCGTATCGCGTCGCGCAGCGCGGCTTCGTCGTTTGCTAAAATCGCTTTTCTCGCATCCCGCAAAAAAGGCTCCATGCCCGGGAGCAGGCGCTCGATCGGCCGCGACTCGAAGAGGCAGGCGCGCAACGTCGATGCGATGCCGATGTTCAGCGGCGAGTGGCGGAGGCGCGCAAAGCGAGGTTCAGTACAGGGGGAGCTGAGCGAGTCCTTGGCCCGATGCTGGCGCGCCCCCCCGCTCGATTTTTTGCTGTGGCAGCTCGATTTTTTGCCTGAGGCTCAGGCTGAGCTCAAGCTCGCCGATGAGAGGCGCCACCAGTCGCCACCTCTCCAGCCACAAGCCACGATCGTCGCCTGCCGCCCATCGCGTTGCGTGCCGCGGCGACTATTCGCTCCAGATCCCCGACAGCTCCAGATCCCCGACAGCGTGACCCTGCGTCGTCGGGTTGTGAGATGGAGCGGTGGAAACGTTCTCTGGACGGCGCGGATACCTATTGCGAAATCTGCAGCCGCGAGTGCATCAACCGATACTGCGACGAGTGCGCGCCGGCCGCGCCGCCGCCGCCGGCGACGGTAAATTTCCACCCGGAGGCGCGCCTCCAGGGCCACAAGGATCGCGTCTACGATCTCGCGTGGGAGCCCGACGGCCGCCGCCTCGCGTCCGTGGGCCAGGTCGGCGGCTTCGTGTGGAACGGCGCGGAGGAGCGCGTGACCCTCGAGGGCGACGAGCTCATGCGCGTCTGCTGGGACGGCGCCGCGCACGTGCTCTGCGGCGACTCGCTCGGCAAGGTCCGCGTCTGCTCGGCGTTCGACGGGCGGCCCGCGGCGACGCTCGACACGAGTCAGGACGACGAGATCTACGGCCTCGAGGTGCTCCCGGGCGACGGGCGCCTCGCCGTCGGCGCGGGCGAGACGGCGCAGGTCTGGGACGTCGCGGCCGCGTCGCGCGTCGCGCGGACGACCTTCGCGCGGGCCGAGGCCGGCGTCGTCTTCGGCGGCGAGCGCAACCCGGAGGCGCGGGCCTACGTCTTCGACGTCGCCGTGCGCGGGCGCGTGCTCTGCTGCGCGCTCTCCGACGGCACGACGCGGCTCCTCGACGCGCGGACGCTCCAGGCCATCGGTTCTTTGGACGCGCACGCGCAGCGCGGCTCCTGCGCGCTCGCCGTGGCCGTCGCGCCGGAGCCCGCGGCGCCGCTGCTCGCGTCGGCGGACCAGAGCGGCGCGGTGCTCCTCTACGACATGCGCCGCCTCGGCGACGGGCCCGTCGCGGAGTCGCAACTGCCCGGCGGCATCCACGCGCTCGCCTTCGTCGGATCGGGGCCCCTCGTCGTCAGCGGGGGCAACGACGGCACGCTCCGCGCGCACGAGACGCGCGGCATGGCCGTCGAGGGCTCCGCGACCGTGGTCAACAAGGTGCTCTGCATCGAGGCGGCGCCCGACCCGGCCGCGCCGCGCGTCGCGAGCGCGGGCGGCACGGGCAACGTCATCAGCGACGCGGGCATCAACGTCTGGCGCGTCGAGAGCGGGCCCGCGGACTTCGCGGCGCGCGTGCGGGAGCTGCTGTAAGGTGTATGTGTATGTTGTTTAGGAATCGCCAGAGCTGGGGGAGCTTCTTAGGGGTGGGGATTAGAGGGGGCGCGCTCCACCTGCCCTACGTCGGCGACCGCGTCGAGCGGTCGCGCGGCGCCGTCGTCCGCGCGCCGAGAGAGTCTTCTCGACGCAAATTTTCGGCGTCGATCATGTTGAGGGCGTTTTGGCCGCGCTCGTCGCCGTTTGCTGCCGCAAGGGCAAAACAGCGCTTGGCTTCGTCCAAATCGGCGTCCACGCCTCTGCCCACCAAGTAGCACTTACCCAGAAATAAGTGAGCATATGCGAAATTTTTCTCAGCACTGAGCTTGAACAATGGAAACGCCTCCTCGTGTCGTTCGTCGTCGCGAAGCATGCTTCCGAGACTCCACTGGGCCTCCGCGTCGCCCGTATCCGCTGCGGCGCGCATTAGCTGCATTGCCTTGGTCCGATTCGGCTTCACGCCGTTTCCCTTGGCGTACATCTCGCCGAGATTTACCATCGACGTCACGTCGCCAAGCTCCACAGCACGCTTGAATATTTTCACGGCCTTCTTCTCGTTTTTCACGATACCGAAGTGGCCACCAAAGCGATACAGAGTCCCTAAATATTCAGTCGCCAGCGGTGAGTCGTTTTCCGCGTGGCGACGAATGCGGGCCAGAACCTCGGCTCCGTCTTTCGCGTGTGGTTGGCGACAGAGAGGACACCCTTCATGACCATGACACTTGCTGTGACACGACACGCAGATCATCTGGGCGCAACAAACACGAAACATATGAGCCTCATTCACGTCCCAGTCCTCCAAGCAGATCGGGCATCGCGACGAGCCCCAACGAGGGACGAGCCCCAACGCGTGCTCCGGCTCCGGATTCGCCTCCCGCCGGGCGCGAGCGGCCTCGTGTTCGGCGGCGATGCGCGCGCGGACCTCGTCGGCGTGCGACCGAGGCGCGGGACCGTAGAACACCGGGGGCGGGGGCGGGGGCGCCTCGGCCCGCGCCGCCTCCGCCGCCCGCTCGCCCCGGATCTTCTTGCACGCCTTCCGGTGGCCGCGGTCGCGCCAGTCGATTCGTTGGCACGCAACCGTGCAATATTGAGCCGTGCCGCATGGGCATGGGAGCTTCGCTTTCGCCGAGCAAATTGAGCAAAGCGTGCGGAGCTTGGCGTTCTTCACTCGGGCCATTCGCTCCTCATACTCGCGCTTCTTGTCGCGCCAATCCACCTCATCCGCCGGCTTGTCTCCGGAGCTCATCGTGTGCGTGCGCTCTTCGCCAGTCTTCGCCCTCGACTCAAGCCGACTGGATTTGCCAGAGCTGGGCGATCAACACGACCCAGGCGTCGACCCCGGACGACGAGGCGTACGACGTCGCCCCGCAGCGAGGCCCCACCGCTAAAAATAACCCCTTACCACGGCGACCGACTCACGGGTGCCCCCCGTGGTGGGGGTGGTAGACGTGTCCTCGCTCCGCGTGCGCGCGCTCCGCGGGGCTCGCCGCGTGGTGGTGCTTGTGCGTGGGCGACGCGGCCGGCGCCTTCCGGTGGGGCGACGAGAAGGGGTCGCCGCCCTTGGGCTTGGGCGAGTTCCAGGCGTGGTGGGGTATTTTCTGGACCACGTCTCCCCCCGGGTAGTAGTAGTCGCCGGAGCCGCGGATGCGCGTCGGCGCGACGGCGGCCGACGCGTCGACGACGTCGGGCCGCGGCGCGATCTGGGGCCGGCCGCCGGGCTGGACGACGGGCGGGAGCGCCGCCGGGTTTTCCTCGTCGGCGCGCGGCGCGGACCGCGCGCGCCGCGGCGCGGCCCGCGTCGCCTCGATGAGCTTCTCCGCGAGGCCCATGTGCAGAAACAACGCCTCGACCTTGTCGCCGACGCCCATGGTCGGCACGGTGGCGTAGGCGGCGACGGCGAGGCGCTCGAGGCATTTCCGCAACCCCGGGCCGTCGAGGCCGCCCGTCTCGCCGTCGCCGAGCGCGCCCCGCGTCACGGACGTCACCTCCTGATGGCTGAGCAGCGTCGGCGACACGCGGTGGTCCCGGCAGAGGCGGAGCACGTCCGCGGGCGACACGACCTGGCCGGGCCGGCCGCCGGGGCCCCGGACCGTCGCGTAGTCGCGGAAGAGGCCCCGGAGCGGGCTCGCGAAGCGGTCCAGGATCTTGGAGAGGCGCTCGTCCGCCGGCGGCTGCGGCTCGCGCGGCGACTCCCGCGGCGGCGGCGGCTGCTCCGGCCGGCGCGCGGGCTCCGGCTGGCGCGCGTGCTCGCCGGAATGGCGCGCGTGCTCGCCGGAATGGCGCGCGCCGTGGTGGGGCGACGGTTCCTGGTGCCGCGGCGGCTCCTGATGATGCCGCGCGTGCTCTCCGGAGTGGCGCGCCGGCTCCGGGTGCCGCGCCGGCTCCGGGTGCCGCGCCGGCTCCGGGTGCCGCATCGGCTCCGGGTGCCGCGCGTGCTCCTGGTGGCGCGGCGCGTCGTGGTGGCGCGGCGCGTCGTAGTCCGGGGCGTAGTGGCGCGGCGGCGAGTGCTGCGGCGGCTCGATGTGGTGGCGCGGCGGCTCGTAGTGGTGGTACGGCGGCTCGTGGTGCGGCGGCGCGCCGTGGTGGCCGCGGTGGTGCGGGTCGTGGTCGTGGTGCAGCAAGGAGCTCGTCGTCGGCGCCGCGTAGTGGGGCGCGTGGTTCGCGGCCTCGACGGCGAGCGCGGCCGCGCGGAGGCTGTGCTGGTCCGCGTGGCCGTGGTGGAGCTGCTGCGGCGGCGGCGCGGGCGGCTCCTGGGACCGGTGGTGGTGGTGGTGCGCGGCCTCGACGGCGAGGGCCGCGGCCTTGAGGTGGTGGGGGTGGTGGAGCGCGGGCTGGCTCTGGGACTGCGCGAGCGCGGGCGTCCGCAGGACCGCGGGCGACGCGAACGGCGCCGCGTCGCGCGCAGCGTCGGCCCCCGGCGGCGCCGCGGCGTTGACGGCGTCGCAGAAGTCGTCCCAGGCCACGGTCTTGCGGCCCAGCGTGCCCGTCTTGAGCCGGCGGCCGATCTCCGCGGCTAGACGCCTCGCGACGGCGTCGTCCGCGCGCGCCTCGCCCGACTGCTCCCAGAAGGCCGCGTCGTCGTCGCCCGCGTCTTTGGGGCCCTCGACGACGATGCCGCCGAGGGGTGCTAATGCGCGGGTGAGCGTCTGCTCGAGGACGCTGAGCGACGCCGTCGTCGCCTCGCGGAACGCCGCGGCCGCCCGCCGCTCGTCCGCTAAAGCCTTCTCCGCCGTCGCCGCGCGGTGCTCGAGCTCGGCGATGAGGCTCAGGGCCTCGTCCTGGTTGGAACCGAGCTTGACGACGAGGTCCCGGGCCGCGCCCGCGGGGCTCGGCAGCGCCAGCTCGACCGCGGCGGGCTCCTCGGGCTCCGCGGGCTCCGCGGGCTCGGCCGGCTCCTCCGGCTCCGCGGGCGCCGCGGCGTCGGCCGGCGGCGCCATCTCGCCGGCCGGCGCGAGGTCCGCGGACGGCGCGAGCTCCGCGGGCGGCGGCAGCTCCGTCGCCGGCGGCAGCTCGTGCGCCGGGGCGACGTAGCTCCCGGGGAAGAGGCCGCAGCGCGGCAGCCCGTCCTCGATGACGCCGAACCACCAGCCGTCGTCGAGTTTCTTCGTCACCTGGACGAGGTCGCCCTCCTTGATCGTCAGCTCGTCGGCTTCGGCCGCCTGGTACTCGTAGAGCGCCCGGCAGGCTTCCATGCTGCCCGCGCGCTAGCTGCCCGCCAACCGCATTCACTGCACTCTTCTCCATGTTGACCCAGGAGTTGCCTTTGCTCTCGCAAGCGATTGGAGGACATGTCGAGCGCTCCAGCCGGCGCCGACGCCGACGCGCCGACCACCGAAGCGCCCATCTCGAAGCGTGCCGCGAAGCGCGCCGCGAAGCGCGAGGAGCGCGACGCCGAGCTCCAGGAGAAGAAGAAGCAGCGCGCCGCCGAGGTCGCCGAGCGCGAGACGGCGCGCGCCGCGGCCCAGGACGCGCGCTTCGCCGCCATGAGCGACGCGGAGCGCGCCGAGGTCGAGCGCCTGCGCGACGCGAAGCGGTCCGAGCGCGCCAAGGAGAAGGCCGCGGCCGACGCGGCGTTCGTGTCACGCTGCGGCGAGGGCTGCCGCGTCGCGATCGACTGCGACTTCGAGGCCCTCATGACGGAGCGCGAGGTCAAGTCGAGCTGCCAGCAGCTCATGTACTGCTACGGCGCGAACCGGCGCGCCGCGGCGCCGAGCCGCGTGCTCCTGAGCGGGCTCACGGGGAACATGGCGGCGCAGATGCGGAACATCAACGGCTTCGAGAGCTGGCTCGCCACGGACGTCGAGGAGCGCCCGCTGGAGGAGCTCTTCGCGACGGCGGCGGACCGGTCCCAGCTCGTCTACCTCACGGCCGAGGCCGAGGCCGTGCTCGACCGGCCGGACCCGGCGAAGACGTACGTCATCGGAGGCTTCGTCGACCGGAACCGCCACAAGGGCCTCACGCGCGACAAGGCCGCGCGCCTGGGGCTCGCGACGGCGCGCCTGCCCATCGGCGCCGACATGCCCATCGTCCTCGGCGACGCGTCCAAGGTGCTGACGATCAACCACGTCTTCGAGCTCCTCGTCCGCGTCCAAGCGTCCGGCGACTGGGCCGACGCGGCCGCGTGCCTCCCGGGCCGCAAGCAGCGCGCCGGCGAGGTCTCTGCGCCCGCGGCGCCCGTCGCGGCGGCCGCGCCGGCGGGTGTGTTCGGGGGGTGCGCGATAATGTAGTACCTGGGTAGATGTCGTTTTTGCCACAGTGGCACAAGGGATTTTGCGATCGGCGAGCTCAAGACAAAAAATCGAGGAGCAGGGCCAGTCACTCAGCTCTTCCCCGGTACTGAGCCTCGCTTTGCGCTCCGCCCCACGCGCCGCTGACTGACCGTCGCATCGACGTTGCGCGCCTGCCTCTTCGAGTCGCGGCCGATCGAGAGCGTCGTCCAGAAATGGAGGCGTTGGTGTCGGATGCTCAGTGCGCGATAGATGGAAACGACGAAGCCGCGCTGCGCGACGCGATACGCCGCGGCGCCGACGTGAACGGGATGATACCTTGCAAAAACCCGATCACGGGAGCGCGCGGCCTTTTCCCCTTGCTGAGTCTCGCCGCGGGCAAAGGGAACGCCGGGATTTGCGAAATACTGTTGGCCGAAGGAGCAGATGCGAGCCTCCCTGCTACAACAAACGGCGGTACTGCGCTCCATGACGCTGCTGCCCTAGGCAGCACTGCCTGTGCGCGTCTTCTTCTGCGAGCGGGCGTGGATGTAAACTTTGCAGCGAACAAGGGCTTCACTCCGCTTCACGCTGCGTCTGAAAATGGACGCGTTCATGCCGCCAAACTCCTCATCGCCGCCGGCGCGAACCTGGAAGCGAGGGACCGAGCGGGTACCACCCCGCTGCGTTTTGCCATCTATTTCGGTCATCGCGAGGTCGCCCTGACGCTGCTCCGCGCCGGCGCGGCCATCACGGTCTTGCCCACGAAACGGATCAAGCCAGAAAACGAAGCCCTTCAGGACTACATGGTCGACATCATCCACGACGGCGGCTGGGCTTCAAAAGTCGAGCGCCACCGCCGCCCGCTCATGAGCATCCTGTCGAACCTCGCGCTCCCCCACGACGCGCTCCGCGTCGTCCTCTCCTTCTGGTCCCCGCCCGGCGGCCGCTAAGCTCGGCGCATAAAGGAAGCTACACCAAGCAACTTAGATGTGCGCGAGACGTCGACGTGTCGTGGAACTGGGACAGGTCCTCGTCGTCGTGGTCGTCCTCGCCGGCGAGGACCGCGGCCGCGGGCGTCGGCGGCGGGGGCGCGTACTCGAGGGAGTCGAGGTCGAGCGTCAGCAGCGCCGGCTCGATGTCCGGGTGGTCCGCGTGCTCCGCGCGCGCGTCCGCGAAGACGTCCTCCGGGAGCGGCGGCGGGTTCAGGTTCGCGGCCCAGGCCGGACCGTGGAGCTTCCGCTGCGGGCTCCGCCCGGGGGGGTCGACGGGCGACGGCGGGCTCGGCGACGCCGCGCGGCCGTCGGAGCTCGGCGACGCCGCGCGGCCATCGGCGCTCGGCGACGCCGCGCGGTCGTCGAAGGCGATCTCCAGGTCCGGCGCGTCCTGCGTCGCGTCGACGAAGACGTGGTCGTCGCCGGGGTGGAACCCCGCCTTGTCGTCGACGGCGTCCGCGTCCTCGGCCGCGAGGAAGCGGTCGTCGTCGGGCTCGAAGGGCGGCGCCACGTCGTCGTCGGGCGCCGCGGCCAGGGCTCCGTCGTCGTCGTCGTCCTCGTCGAACATGACCGTGACCGCGGGGACGGGCGCCGGGTCCGGCGCGGCGGCCTCGTGCTCCTCCCGCCGCTCCTTGCGCTTCGCGGCGCCGAACTTGAACTTGGCGACGGCGCCGGAGGCGGCGACGACCTCGTCCATCTTCCGCTCGGACGATTTCCGTCGCTTGAGGCCCGGGAGCCTCGACCCGACGCGTTTCACGACGTTCCGCGACGAGGACGCGACGCGCTGGAGCTTGTCCCGGGCGCCGCCGGCCGCCGACGCGGCGCGCTGGCGGATCTTGTTCTGCTGCGCCTCGAGGCGCTCGCGGCCCAGCGCGTCGATGAGCACGTAGTAGAACGCGGTCAGCAGGCCCGCGGACATGACCATCATCAGCACGCCCCCGAAGAGGTCGTTCGCGTAGCCCCGCTCGCCGTCCGTGTTCGCCTCGATGTAGAGCAGCAGGCTCCCGAAGAAGATGAAGACGAGCTGGGTCTGCGCGACCTCGCTGAGCGTGTCGTCGTCGTCCTCGATGTAGGGCTCGTACGCGGAGTAGACCCGGTGGCTCAGCATCGCGATGAGCAGCCCCATCGCGATCTGCAGCGCGCCGCCGTCCGAGAAGATGGTCAGCCCGCCCGTCAGCGCGATGCGCCGCACGCACTCGAAGACCGAGAACAGGTAGCACCGGGGCTCGTACTCCTCCACGAGGAACGACACGTGCGCCACCGCCTCGCCCGACGTCTTGTCGCGGTGCTCGAGGAGCGCGGCCTGGACCTCGGCGAGGCGCATCTGCTCCTGGGCCTGGAGGATCATGGAGTTGCGCTGCTGCTTCACGACGAAGGACTCGCGGCGGCCCTGCGTGCCCCGGCGGCTCCTCCGCGAGGGCAGCCGCGTGCCCGTGTCCTCGTCGCCGTCGGGCCCCATGGGCGCGCCGCCGCGGAGGTCGAGGTCGACGACGTCGTCCGCCGCCGCCGCCGGCGCGCCCCCGACCAGATCGGGCGCCGGCGGCGCGCCGCTCGAGTCGCTCGAGTCCAGGCTCCGCTCGAGGCCGTTGTCCTTGAGCTCCTCCTTCGTGAGGTCGTCCTCCGTCGGGTTCAGCAGGTGCCGCAGCGACCACAAGATAATAAAGTAGAAGAGCGGGATGCCCACGGGGTAGACCACGATCATCAGCCCCACGAATAAGCCCCAGGAGCCGTAGCGCTTCTCGTAGCAGCGGATCGTCGGGTCCGCGTTGAGCGTCCAGAGCGCCTCGGACCTGGGCGGGAAAAGGGTGATGCAACCGTCGCTTCAACGTGAGTGTTCCGCGCGCGCGCGTTCAAAAAAAGCATCCACGCTTCGAGACCGTTCCGAGGGATGATCGCTCGTCCAAAAATCAGCCGAAACGAGTGGAAAACGACCGAGATAGGCGCTTTCAACGTCGGGAATGTCGCTCTCTTGTCCCGCCCCGCCTCGGACTGGCGCCGCCAGCCGCCGCCCGCGTCCTCCTCGAACTCGCCGAGGTCGTAGCGGCTGCACCCAAAGTACTGGAGCGTCGTCGCCGCGGCGCCCGGGAGCACGCAGAAGGACAGGAGGAGCAGCAGGTAGTGCTTCGACGCGAAGATCTTGTGCCGCGCGTCCGCGTCGCCCGCGCGGAGCTCGCGCGCGGTCCAGACGACGTAGACGGCCGCGCCGAGGACCATGGGCGACGTCGTCTGGAACACCAGACTCTCGAAGAACGTCACGCGCCGGAAGCAGTCGAGGGGCAGCGCGGAGAGGATGTTGAGGTTGAAGAAGGACGAGATCGAGAACGGCGCCGCGAGGAACGCGGGGAAGGGCACCTGGGGCAGCGACCACTGCGTCGAGCCGATGATCTGGTACAGGCCCATCAGGATCTTGATCTTCGTCAGGTACTTCGTGAGCATGGACGACCCGTCGTCGTCCTCCTTCTCCTTCTCGCCGAGCGCGACGAGCGCCTCTCCCGCCTTGCCCTTCCGCGCCGCGTTCACGACGTCCGCGTACTCGGACATCTTGCGCATGGAGCAGCCCCCGTGGCGCCGCACCCACCAGACGGCGACGGCGACCACAATGATGACGAAGAGGCCGATGGACACGAGCTTGCCGGGCGAAACCGAAATATCCCAGGGCGGGTCCGCGCACTCGATGCAGCGGTTCTCGACGCTGTCGAACCTACCGAGCACGACGGTGCAGATGTCTCACCCACCCCAAATCTCTCGAAAATCGTCACGGCCACGGGACGCTGTGTCGAACATGTAGTCGTCCATGCAGACGCCGCAGAGCACGCCCTCGTGGCCCCGCTTGCAGTAGCGCGTCTCCGTGGGCGCCGCCGCGCTGAGGTTGCCCGCGCCGCCGCCGCACGCGGACGTCAGCGAGCACAGGTAGAGCTCGTCGCTGTAGACCGTCGCGCGCCAGTAGTCCTTCTTCAGCGGCAGGTTCTCTAACGTAATGCCGGACTCGTAGCACTTGGACCCCTCGTCGGGGCACTCGACGCAGCAGTCGAAGCACTGCGCGGCGAGGTAGGCCTCGACGGCGCCCGGCGCCCAGCTGGCCTGTAACGTCGCGTGGCCCGTCGTCTCCCAGTAGGGCGTGTCCCAGTAGTTGCCCGGCGTGCAGGCGCCGCAGTAGGTGTTGCCCTCGCCTAAAGACGTCAGCGGCGACGGGCAGACGTAGCACGCGGACGACCCGGAGTGGTTCGTGTACGTGTTCTCCGCGCAGGGGTCGCACGCCGCCGCGCGGCTGCCGCTGTAGCTCCCCGCGGGGCAGGCACTGGGCTCCGTCGCGCCCGTCGTGGGCACGTAGTAGCCCGGGTCCGCGAAGCTGCAGGACACCTGGCCGCCCTCGGACGTGTACGTGCCGAGCCCGCAGGGCACGCAGCTCGACGCGCCCGAGCCCGAGTACGTGCCCGCGGGGCACGCGAGCGCGCCCGCGCCGGCCTTGCCCTTCATGTGCTTCGACGAGCCGCGGGCGTGGTGCACGCGGCCCAGGCTGCCGCCCTCGTCGAGCTTGCCCGCGAGCGTGCGGTTCGCGAAGCGCGAGAAGAGCTTCGCCAGTCGCCCGGACTCGAGCGTCTCCGTCATCGCGTCGACGAGGTCGCCGCGGATCAACTCCTCGGCCGTCGAGATGTTCTCCTCGGACGACGCCGAGTAGTTGCTGCGCACGGAGAAGGAGACGAGCGTCGAGTAAAGCGTCCCGTCCTCGAGGCGGCGACCGCCCTCTTCCGTCGCGGGGCCGACGCTCGCGATCTCCACCGTGTCGACGAGGTCGCTGAACTGGTCGTCGACGTAGGCGGCCTCCAGCACCTGTTTCAGGTCGTCGTTTGCCGCCGTGTCGTTGTTGAAGTCCGCCGCGGTCGTGTTGGAGAGCTCGATGGTCGAGTCGACGGTGACCGCGTACGTGACCTCCTCCGCGGCGACCGTCCCCGCGTCCGTCGCCGCGCAGGTCGACGCGCCGGCGGACGACGCCGTGCCCTCGGGGCAGAGGGCGCACTGGGACGCGCCCGCGCCGGAGTAGCGGCCCGCGGCGCACTCGAGCGGTTTCACGGCGCCCGTCGTCGCGACGTAGGTGCCGCCGCTCACCAAAGCGCAGGACGTCATGGCTTTGTCCTCCGCGAATCGCCCCTCCTCGCAGGCGAGGCAGGCCGCCTGGCCCGAGCCGCTGTAGGAGCCCTCGGGGCAGGGGAGCTGCGCGGACGCGCCCTCGTCGGGCACGTAGTAGCCCGCGTCGACGAGCGAGCAGAGCGTCGACCCCCGGGACGCCGCGTAGGTCGCCGCGGGGCACGGGAGGCAAGCCGTCGCGCCGGAGCCGCTGTAGGTGCCCGCGGGGCAGGGCGTCTGCGCGGACGCGCCGACGTCGCCGACGTAGCTGCCCGCCTCGACGAAGGAGCACGACGTCTGGCCCTCGGCCTCGACGAAGGTGCCGATGCCGCAGGGCGTGCACGCCGACGCGCCCGAGCCGGAGTAGTAGCCCGGCGGGCAGGGCGTCGCGGACGAGGACCCCGCGGAGGCCACGTAGAAGCCCGCGTCCGCGAGGGAACACGCGGCGCGGCCCGTGGACCCCGTGTAGAAGCCGACGTCGCAGTCGTTGCAGTACGAGGCCCCGGAGCCGCTGTAGCGCCCGGGGGCGCAGGGCGTCTCGGCGACGGCCGCGCTGGAACCGACGTAGCTGCCCGCGTTCGAGAGGCCGCACGACGTCATGCCCGCGCGCGGCTGGAACGTGCCCCCGGAGCAGTCGGCGCAGGAGTGCATGCCCGAGCCCGCCGTGTAGCGCCCCGCCGGGCAGACGGACATGGCCGTCG